AAGTATATAAAGTGGGTGAAGATAGGGACAACTATTTGTAAGAAGCTAGAGACAGTTAGATAATGAAGATCTCCAGTGGACTTGCTTTGAAATCTGTATTTCTTTAAATTGTTTTTTATTTTTTTTAAATGTTCTGTTCTGTTTTGATATGGTTAATCTTACCCTCTTTGAGATGTAAAACAAATGTGTAGGACTGATAATCATATTACTGAGCTTTTGTTCGATCATAGAGCAGGATGGTTTGTAGGGTCACTTTTTGAATGTGATTCTAAATACTTTAATTCTATAACCCGAACAGCTATTTCGAGGATGACAATATGTAACTTATCAACCGGCAATTTCTTACCTTTTGTCTATCTGTAATTTTGTAATATTTCTACCCTTTTTTTTAATCTCCATGTATTTTTTTTTCGTTTCCTTTTCTTTAAATAAAAAAAAAAAGAACGCAGTAAGGGGTGGGTAGAAGGAGACAGGGGTCAGATATGTTGCAAATGAGGAGTCCAAGAGACCGTGGATGAGAGGAGTGGAGTGGGCGGGGGAGGGGAAATAGGCAGAACAAAGACATACCATGCACAGGAATGTAATAATGTCAGCGAATGTAAGCACTGTATATCATAAACATGAGATAAGATTAATAATCACAGAACAAAAACAGAAAAGGGGGACTTAGAGGAGAAGGGATGGAGGCAAGAGGGAAGGAGATTAAAAAAGAATTAAGTTTGTACATGAACCCATTCCCCAAGATGATTATAAGCTACAAATACTGTGACATACAATAATAGAAAAGGTAAAGAAATAAAAATTTAAAAATATATCATGAACAAATATGGATTTAAAAAAATAAAAATGAGACGAAAGAGCGGCAGGGTAGCGTTCACTAGCAAAGCCACAACTGAGGACCAGGCCAGAGGCTCCTCACGGCTGCCCCCTTAGGTTCCTGCCACTCCCTTAGGTTCCAGCAGGCCAGAAGTTCCCAGAGGAGAGCTGCTGCCACAGGGCTTCTGCAGAGACTCTGGAGGAGCGCCCAGAGTCTCCCGCTGCAGCCCAGGCTTAAAGGAGCCAATGAAAAGGGAAACTACGGGTCTGTGTTGTTGCTCACAGGGCAGGACAGTCAGAAGGCGATGAAATCAAAGCAGAACAAATTGCAACGTGTTTGATGCCACAGCCAAGCAGATCTGAAAGCCACCAGGCTCTGATTAGTTCCGAAGCAGGCAGAGAGTTTTATCTGAACAGTCCAGCTCACAGGAATGGTCCAGGACACAGAGCCTGGCCGCTTAATCTCCTAGAAATCTCACCTCAGGAGTTTTCTCAACAGGTTGTCTGGATCTAGAGAAATACACTGAGAGGAAGACTAACAGCAGGCCGGGATGGTCACGTGGAGCCTGGCAGGTTGTCCCATGGTGCAAGCCAGCAATCTTTACCAGCATCCATCCTTTCTTTCTTTCTTTCTTTCTTTCTCTTTCTTTCTTTCTTTCTTTCTTTCTTTCTTTCTTTCTTTCTTTCTTTCTTTCTTTCTTTCTTTCTTTTCTTTCTTTCTTTCTTTCTTTCTTTCTTTCTTTCTTTCTCTTTCTCTCTTTCTTTCTTTCTTTCTTTCTTTCTTTCTTTCTTTCTTTCTTTCTTTCTTTCTTTCTGTCTGTCTGTCTTGCTTTGCAGTTCAGGTGGCCTTGAACTCACTTTGCAGCCCAGGATGACCTCAAATTGGCAGGGATCCTCCTACCTCAAGTGCAGGGCTTACAAGTGTGCACTGTCACGCTTGGCCCTGCAGTCTTTATGGATCTAGAGAAAAGCACAAGTACGATATCACCAGTGTTCTTCTGATGAATTGAAGGGCTCGACCCCGAACAAAATCACAGTGCCCAGATGGGAAGCCACAGTTAGTCCCTTACGAGATGTTCAGAAACAGACCAGGGCACGCCAGCTGGCATGTGTCTCAGTATATGGCAGTGGTACCTGATGAGCCAAAGGATGACAGGAGTGCTTGGTGCTAATGGTACTGAGCAAGCACAGTGAGAGATGTAGAGATGTTATCAGAGTGAGGCAGAAGCAGGACATAGATGTAGAGTGGGCAGACTTGAAGAATTTCTTCTGCAAGCCCACCTCAGGCGACGATAGCTGGTAAGCCCACGAACAGGATCTTTATCCTGATCATAGAGATTCCTGTGGGAATTTTTTTTTTAAAAAGAGTTCTTTACCACGTTGTGAAACACTTTGGCTGTAAGTAGAGATGGTTATGCAGATTTCAGGCAGAACAAGTATCAGATTACCAGTAGTGGAGCAGTATCTGCTAAATGAATGATTAATTAGTATTATTTAAATTCTCAGTCCTATAAGTAAGTCCTGTTATTATTCTCATCTGACCTGTGGGGAAATAGAATCACAAGAAATTTGAGAAACTTTCTGCTGGTGTCAGAAAGTGGTATAACTAGGTTTTAATCTACAGTTCTGCATCAGAATCCTCGCTTTCAACAGGCCTCACGCTCCATTTCCAGGGCAATGGGTCCATTGCTTGTAGAAAGGCGATGAGGGTAAGATGCATACCCTCAGTGATTTGGAAACAGGAGACTGCCAGAGACTAAGAGAATACGATCACCCTAGCAGGTGACTTCTGCATCATTCTGATTCCAGATCTGCAAGACTGTGGCAATCTTCATTCAGCTGTAATATGCAGCTGTAGGTCTTTGGCTTTCTTCTTTGTCTCCCTTGGTTTCCCAGTTAGTGGTAAAGGAGAGATTTCTGTGCATCCTTTTCCGTAGATGTCACGTGCCTCCAGTTTTTTCTGTGCTTGATAATTTCTTTTTAGAACAGTTTCTTTGGTGTAGGAAGGGTCAGTCACAGGACCTACGTAGCTGTGTTTGTTTATTTTTCAAATCCAAATCAGCTCAGATTTCACAGGTCCGCAGCAAAACGAATGTGACTACTGAAACAACACGTGCGCCCTCTGGTGGTTTATCTAGGCATTTCAGAAACTTTCTGTTAGAAGAAAGTTTGTAATTTACGCTGTTTGTGAATTAATTTACGAGGTAGGGTAATAATAAAAAAGAAGACATATATGTCCATCAAAACAAAATACAGTTTAAAAGCAGAAAGGAAAATTATGTTTTAAAGCTTTATTTCATGTGTCAGAGCTGACATTTGCTCAGTTGTCTTGTCCACCTCTTACTTCTTGAGTTCACAGTTCAAACAGGGGATACATAAGGCCCAGCACAACCCTTCTCAGTGAAACACTGGAATCCATTTGCTTGTGAGAAATCATCTTTAAGTTGACAGAGATGCAGAAGTAGACACTGTATGGATTTAAGATAGACGGGTAAGATTAGATCCTCTTACTCAAATAACTATTCACTGAATTACTACTAAATTCTAAAAATCAACATATATAGCCAGAGAGATAAGTTTAAAGCAAAACTGAGTGCCTCTCTTAAGATTGTAGATATTATTAGGAGAAATAGCATCCAGTATTCCAAAGTTGGATATTCTAATTGCCAAGAAGACTACCAGTCCTCTGATTTGCTTAGAATGTTTAATAAAGATTTTGGCTTGGTGTCAGGGCTCTAGTGGTATTCATACAGTTAGTCCCCAACCTGAGAACATTCAAATGTGAACTTTCACAGGTGAACTGCAGAAGATTCACTTTGTTGGACGAGAAAGAATCTGATCTACACATTGTCCTGGAATGGAACTTGTTCCTAAGTTGGGGACTGACTGTGTATGACAGTGCAAGAAGTTGATGTCTTTAGACATCTCCTTCACAGACACAAGTTCTAAAAATAGGAGATTTTGTGAGTCCTAAAATGAAGCTCTGAAAAGGCTGGTAAAGGTCTTTCTTGTCCAGGCTGTAAATGTCCGAGCAGGTGTGGACAATGAGCAACGGGAGAGGATAAGAGGAATGTGTGCAGCACAAGGGTTCTATAAATTCATAAACCACCGAGCCAGAGGACATCTTAGTGATAACTTCTTTTAATATCCCAACTTCAGACTTGAATCACTGAGACCCAGAAACATGTGCCACCTAAAATCCCAGTCAATAGTCATTGGAATTAAAAGAAAATATATACTGAAAAGGAGATCAGACATATTATCAAAAGGTGCAAAAAGTGTCCTTCCAACCTTGAATGAGAACCATATGTAGTTATCTTTCAGAGGTGAGTATGCAAGGGTTAGAAAATTTGTTCTGTATGCATATATGTATTTAAAAAATATTCCACAGTAACAACAGCTGACCTAGACTAACTATCTTTCCCAGACTTGCTTTTTGTTAGGTTTCCAGTTAGGCTGAGATCAAGATTTCACTTTGGACTTGAAAGAGCAGCAGTGTAGTTTTCATTTGCTGTGGTTGGTATAAACATTAGGGTGCTCATGCATGTTGCTGTTTCCTTGTTGGCTGCCTCACTGATGTGAGCCACCTGCCGGGCCTGCAACATGTCTGCCTGTTCTTTGTCAGTCTCTGACCTTCTTTGTCTGGCAGTTCTGGTATGGTTTATCTTTTTAATGAAAGGAGAAAAGTTCACCTAAACAAGCCTCATATTATCAAGTTTGCAGGTAGTAAGAGAGACCGGGAGGGCTTGTAGTTGGTTTTCCTGAGTCTAGGCTTACATTTATTGGTACTGCTTCCTGTAGATTTGATGCTTTGAGAGAAAGGGACAACATCCTTACTCAGATAATGTAACCAGGACTTATGGCTGTGGTATAAAAAACATTCATATGAGCCTTTGTGCAGGTGCTCATGTGCACGTACATGTGTGTGCACACACACAGATAGCACAATTAGTAAATATTTTAATCTTTGCAGTAATATGGTCTCCACTGCAACTACTTAATTGCTGTTACATATCAAAGCTGCCACATACAATGCACAGATAAATGGGCCAATGTGTCTCTTTGATCTTTATAAATCTATATCCATTTTTCCATATTAGGGTGCAAGCCTTTACAATTATATATATAATCTTCTGGCAGGACTACTTCTCTGAGGGACTGATGGTAGATACAGAAACACAACATTAAGGGGATTCTGACTTCTCCATGCTTTCCGGAGGAAGACAGTCTCCACTGTTCCCTCCCTCATCTGCTTCCTCCAAGGCCTTCTGGAGAACCAGCTTCAGGGAACGTGGCCATTGCCGCTGTTGCTGTTTCTGCCTACAGGAGCCAACAAAGAAGTAAATGATGGGGTTGGCAGTGCTGCTGACACTAGACAGCAGAAAAGCAATCCTCTCAATGGCCTTAAAATTTGAAAGCTGATTTTGAAACTGAACTTTGGCGCTAAAAGTCCGCAAGATGCCTATAGGTAGGCCACAGAGGAGGAAGACCAGCACTGAAAGCCCGATGGTTACATACAGCCTGGTTGATGGCAACCTCCTAGGTCCACAGAGCATCCTAACAAGCAAGATCAGGTTGGACCCACAGAGAATAACAAAATCACAGGTCAGGCTGAAGCCTATGATGGAATACATCATCATACATAGCTCGTAGTTTCTAAGTAGAAATTTGCACGAGATGTGTAGCAGGATGGCCAACACTAGGGACAGAGCCGAGTATGGCACACACAACAGCTGACATATGTCTTGGGCGGTGGCAGCGGTACCACATGGGGAACAGGACTGCAAGGCATCGCTCCAAGCTAATGGCAGTGAGCAGGAACAGACTCATGCTGTGGAAACACATCCCCACAGCATGTATGTAGATGTAGTAGTCAATGCCAGAGGTATCAACAAGTTCCCACAGATAGAATACAAAGAGGCAGCAGAGGAAAAGGAAGTCTGATGTGGCCAAGCTGAGGACATAGACTGAGATGATGTTCCTGTTCACACAGAAGCCCAGGAGCCAGAACACAGTCACGTTTCCAGGCAGCCCTACCAGGGCGAAGATGACTGTCAGTATCTCCAGGAACATGTTCACGGAGCTGGAAGTTGGAGGGGAGGTTGAGTTGTGGTGCATTATGGTGAGTACTGTACCACTGGGTGAGATGACGGGCTCCATGCTCCAAAGCTCTCCACTGGTGTTCCTGAGAACACAAACAAGTGTTGTGTACCTGCTGCATGATCTTTGATTCTAGGACCAGGGTGGTGTTTGGAATTATTAACCTTGTGTCACAGGGGGAGGAAATCAAGGCTTGTAGACATTAAAGAATCTACAGAAGCTGAGGAGTCCCAGAACCTGAACTTAATTCTAGTTTTCATTGGCTGTATTTTTAAATTTTTATTGATACATATTTGTAGGACACGATGACGACATTAACTGTAAGGAATTGATACACATACATAATACAGTTCAGTTCCTTTCCTTTTTCCCCCTTTTATTTTTCCAGTCTCAGGGTCATTATTTATAAAGTTAATTGTCATATATACAGATTGAAAAACAGACTAATAGGACAAAGAATATATAAAACAGATAAGACAAATGTACTAAGGAAAGGTACACTTTTTAATTTTCTTTTTGTTTTTTTTGAGACAGAGTCTCACTATATCTAGACACACTTTTAGATACATTGTCTGCTTGAATTACAATACCATTTTCCTCTTCCATTTTGCTTTATTTTGTCTTTTATTTTTATATAAGAGAAATTCTATGATATTCAAGCTTGTGTGTCTGAGTTACTTCATTTGATATTATGATACATCCATTTTCTTACAAATGACTCAGGTTTATCCTCTTTTGTATCAGAGTCACACTCTATCATGCCTAAGCATCACACCATTTTTTATCCATTTAACTGCTGATGGACCTGTAGGCTATTTCCTAGACTTAGTTACTATGAACTGTGTTGCTATATACATGAGTACATACACATCACTATAGCATGAGATCTTTAACTTTTGGGGGAAGATACCTAGGAAAGGAATAGCTGGATCAAATGGAATTTCTACTTTTAGTTTTTTGGATAATCTTTATACTGGTTTTCATAGTGGTGGTATCACTTTCCAGCCCCACCAACAATAAAAAGTGTTCCTTTTTCCTAACAGCCTCACCAAAATTTGTTACTGGTTGATTTCTTGATGTTAGCCAATACCTCTGATGGATACACAGTTGAGTTCTACAATAAATTTAGAGATCTAATGCCATTACTCCTCAAACTCTTCAGTGAAATAGAAAAGGCAGCAGCACCCCCAAATTCATTCCTGGGAGCAAGTATTACTTTGTTACCAAAACAAGAGAAGAATCCATCCAAAAAAGAAAACTACTACAGACCAATCTTTATAATGAACATGGATGCAAAAATCCTCAATAAGATAGTATCAAACAGAATGCAGCAAATGATCAAGAAATTTATAAACAATGAGCAAGTAGGATTCATCCCAGGGATACAGGGATAGTTCAACATACTCTACTCAATAAATATTATACACCATATCAAATACAGGTTAAAATAAATCTTCTTGAATACCTTAGCAATCATTGCGGCATTACTAACAGGGTGATATGAGAACTGACAAATGTTGCCTTTATCAGGTTAGTGGGAAAACTCTAAACTACAACAGCTGACTAGGACAAAGCTTTCTTCATTGAATTAATCTATCTTCAGGGTTGTCTGAGTATAGCTGCCTCCAAATACATCCGCCTCAGGAGTGTCCTGCAGAGCCCCTTGGAGAACCACCACCTTGAGGTTGTACAAATGCAACTACTGCCTAAATGTCACAAGGAATGAGTATATGATAGGGTTGGCTCCATTGTTAACATAGGAGAAGGCAACTAACCATAGAAAATGATAAAACGGAGCTTTTAGCAAGGGATGAGAAGCCCAAGTATTAAGGACAAAATGGCTCTCAAAATGCAGGCCACAAAGAAGAACACCAGCACCTGGTCAGCTGCATTTGTCAAGAGCCACAGAAGATTCTGACCCATAGGACCAGGCTGGACCCAGAGAGACACCAATAAAATGAGTCACCATGCTTTGATAAAAGCAACTTTCTTTCACCAATTATCTTCAGAATCTCCAAGTAGGACATACTAGTATTAGAATTATTCCAGGATGGTCTGCATCCTGGGCCCACAGCAGGAACCTGTGACAGTTGAGTGACTTCTTGCATGGTGGCAGCAGAAGCAGAGTAGGTACAGGGTGGGTGCAGAGTGGGCAGGCAGAGTGGTGCTAATCATGAGATCTGAATAATATGAGTAGTGAACACAGATGGAATGAAAGAATTTGATCTAATTCATAGGATGAATAATATGGCCGTAGAGGATAGTAAGCCACAGCAAGTTTTTTAAATTTAGATTCAGAAGGCTTTCTAAGGTAGTCAGATCCTGGAAGTAGAGCACAAAGAGAACAAATACTATGTACTTCCTGTTCCTCATCCCCAACTCCTGTCAGGACAGTCATGAGAATCAGCCAATCCAAGGTTGGACCTTCTTGACACCAGTTGGGGGAGGTTATTTCCATACATTGATATGTGTGTTGTTATCTAGGCAGGGATGGTTGGATCAGGCTGAGTCCCTCTGCTGATGTCCAAGGAAATGGAAACAAGACTTGAAATCTACTTAATGATTTCTAATCTGCAGGAGCTCCCTGCTTTCTAGGAATTACTGTCTCCATTTTAGAGAGGAGGAACACAGGACTGGAGAGATTAAATAACCAACCAATAGCTAGGGAGTCTTGAAATATGGTCTCAAAGCCAGCTTTCTTCTGAGCTTTCTTTGTCTTTTCTGGCTACGTTTGGTCATTATGATTTCTGTATTATACTTTGGTATGCTCTTCGATATCAGTTTTATTCTTTACCTTCTGTATCTTGACACAAACTCTTTTCTCAGATTAGAAATTTTTCACTTGTTATTTTTTATAATATGTTTTCTGGTTATTTTTGTCTTTCTTCTCTTTTTTGTCTTCAAATCAGGCATGTATTATATCTCTTAATGGTATCTCATAATTCTCAGCTGCTTTATTCAGTTTTTTCTGAGAGCTTTTCTGATAGACTATATCAAATATACTGTGTTTAATCTCAATAATTAGTTTTTTAATTTTGATTACACCAGCTGTTAAAACCTTTTATTACATGTTTTGCTTTTTTTTTTCCTTTTTGGTACCCGGGATTGAACTCACGACCTTGTGCTTACCAGGCAGGTGCTTGTGCCACTGAGTTATATCCCTGGCCTCATGTTTTGCTTTTTTATCACATTGTCGCTTGGATTTTAATAATTTCTATTTTTTGCTAGCATCTTGTTTTGTTTGTGTAATATTCTTCACGTAGTTTTAAAAAACTGATGCAAAATAATATATATCTGTGGGGTATTCTGATGTTTTGATTCATGTATAGTTTTTATAAGGTCAAGTTAGGGTATGAATATCTATATTCTAGTATAATATTACTTTGTTGTGAAACTTTCAAACTCCTTTAGTTTTTGAAAGATATACAGTATGTTACTATCTGTAGTCATCTTACTGTGCAATAGAATATCAGACAGATTTCTCCTGTCTAACTTAGTATATGTTGATCAAACTTTCCTAGTTCTTCTCTCCTCTCTAGTCTGCCCAGCCACTCTGCTCTTAACTTCTATAAGATCAACTTTTTTAGCTTCCACATATTAGTGAGATCATGGGGTGATGGTCTTTCAGTTCTTGACTTAATTCAAATAATATAACTGTTCTCTGTTTTCATCCATATTCTTAGACATGACAGTATTTTTTTTCTTTGCATTAGTCAGGATGGAACCCAGAGCCTTTCCATTGCACTACATACACAGCCCCTTTTATATCTTTTGCTTTAAGACAGGACCTCACTGAGTCTCTAAAGCTGAGTAGCTCCTTTAAAGAAAAACTTTTATACTCCAAAGGCCTACTGACCTTTTTAAAGAGGATTATTCCAAATTATTTTTAGATCATTTCATAGATTTCTCTTTGTTTATGGTCCATTGTTGGGGCTTGCTTAGTTATTTTTAAAGGTGTCTTGGTTTTCCAATTCTTAGTAATTCTTGTGTCTATTTTGGGTTTTTGAGTATTTGTGGAAATAGTTACCCTTCTACCTCCAACTTTCTATACTTTTATTGTAGTTCTGTGGAAAAGTAGATCTTCACTATGTGTTCTAACCTGCCATCACCAATGGATAAGCAAATAAAGACCCAGGGAAGGCAGAACATGTTTTCAGTTTGTTCAGATGGCCGGGCACTAACTTTGCTCTGAATTTCAGGTTTGGTAGCTTACAGTCCTCTCCAATTTTGCAAAACTTGGTTCAGGTCTACTGTTAGGCTGAGCTACCTGATGTGCTACAATTGCCTTACATTTGACTGTGCCAAATTGTCTAATTCCCTGAACAGAAAGTACTATTCTTTGTGTTCAGCAGCTGGACACGATTCCCAAAGGAACTATATAATTAATTAGATCAGGATGGATCCTGATTATCTGTCTTGGCTATCAGACTTGAATCCTTCACTGTTACCCTTTCAGCACCAAAATTATCAAGAAAGGGTATTCAAGTCTTCTGTCCATTCCTCCTGTAGCCCCTGTAGCTCCTCAATACTCCTCTCCAACATAAGATTTCGGTAAATTTTGACTAAATAGAAAGTCATATATCTGGCAAAACCAAACAAAAAACAAAAAGCAAAACAAAACAAAACCATGTACAGACTCTTACCTTTCCTCTGTTCTTTTTGCTGGATAGGTCAAGGTGGCCTGTGGTGAAGGGAAGAGATTCTTGTGGAACTTTTAGTATCTTAAGGACATGACTTTGCCCTTGAGATGTGCCTTTAGCGGCTGGAGAGATGCTTATCAATATACTGGACAGCTTTTTGATATCCTGTTCAGAGACTCGCTAGCAGATAAGTGTGCAGAGTGTGTTGAGTCATGTTCTTCATGAGATGTCTTTCAACGTTTCATATAATCTGTCCATCAGCACCGTATCCTGTCCTCTGTTGTGTAAGCTGGTATTATTCTGGAGCTGTTACAGATAGCTGACTGAGTTAGAAATATTCTAGGCAGTCAGACAGAGCTAGGCCCTTGAGGAAGCTTAGCACAGAGGACCAAATGTCTGGCGACCTTGGAAGAGACACAC